CTTTCTACCATAGCACAATGCTACGACCCTCTGGGATTTATCAATCCCGTAATAGTCAAAGGAAAAATTTTAATCCAGAAATTGTGGATATTGAAAGTAGATTGGGACACTGAAATAACAGATGTTTCAATTCTACAAGATTGGAAATCATTCATAACTAATCTTCCCCTTTTGTCTCAACAAAAAATTCCGAGATGCTATTTTCTTAATAAACCTATCCATCGCATAGAGCTACACGGTTTCGCCGATGCTAGCTTAGCAGCATTTGGGTGCTGCGTCTACTTTCGCACCATTCATCAAGATGGCAGTATTTCTTGCTTGTTAATTTCTTCTAAGTCCAGAGTTTGTCCTGTGAAAGCAATTACGATTCCTCGGCTTGAGCTTTGTGCCATGCTCCTCCTATCCAAGCTAGTAAAAAAGCTAGTCAATATTTTTGAAAATAAAATAGCTTTATTTTCTGTCAACTTGTGGACCGACTCCCAAGTTGCATTGGCATGGTGCAAGAGTCATGCTAGCCGGTGGTCTGTGTTCGTATCTAATCGCGTTTCACAGATTCAAGAGTTAACTTTCGATTATAAATGGCGCCACGTAAAATCCTCGGATAATGTCGCAGACTTGTTGTCTAGAGGCATATTTGCACAGGAAATTTTAAATAATCAGTTCTGGTGGCATGGGCCCGAGTTTCTGAGGAACTCCTCAAACCTTTTCGATTATGACGAAGAGGTTTTAGACCCTTCCTCGGAAATGCCCGAAGAGAGGAAATGCCACGTTTCTACGAATACAAACCAAGACGATTTTTGGGAAAGTATTTTTTCCAGATTTTCCAACTTTTCCCGTCTACAACGTACAGTTGCATTCGTCCTTCGCTTCAAAAGCATCCTTAAAATTAAAAGAGAAGATAGAGAATTCGGTGCTCCAACTACCCAAGAACTAGATAAAGCTTCAACATTTATACTTCAAAAAATTCAAAATGAATCCTTTTCCAAAGAAATCTCAGAACTTACTTCCAATAAACTCATTTCTAACAAACAGCTTCTTCCCCTTAAACCTTTCCTTGATGACTCTGGTTTGCTACGAGTAGGTGGTCGATTGGAAAACGCTTCTGTTTCCTTTGATCAGAAGCACCCCATTATTCTTCCTTCAAAAAATCACACAACTTCCCTCATTTTAATGCTTGAGCACATACGACTGGGGCACGCAGGTGCTCAGAACACCTTAGCTAATATTCGTTTAAGGTTTTGGCCATTGAATGGCCTAAGAGATGTTAAAAAAGTGATTCGAAACTGCGCCATTTGTTTCAGATTCAGTAGCGAGGTCTCTCAGCAGATTATGGCTAACCTCCCTGAAGATCGCGTTAACGTCTCTAGACCCTTCCACAAAGTAGGCGTGGATTTTGGAGGTCCATTCCTCATTAAGTCCTCACGACTTAGGAAAGCTCCAATGATTAAGTCCTATATCGCTATCTTCGTGTGTATGGCTACAAAAGCTGTACACATAGAGGTAGTTAGTAATCTCTCAACAGACAATTTCATACTTGCTTTGAAAAGATTTGTTTCCCGAAGAGGAAACCCCAGCATAATTTATAGTGATAATGCCACCAACTTCACCGGAGCAAAAAATGAATTAAGGGACCTCTATGATTTCTTCAACAGCAACACTTCTTCTGAGTCGATCCGAGAATTTCTTTCACAGAATGAAACTTCCTGGAAGTTCATTCCCCCCAGATCCCCACATTGGGGAGGACTTTGGGAGTCGGCCATTAAGAGCGCTAAATACCATATGCGCAGGATGATTGGCAATGGTAGTTTCACCTTCGAAGAGTTTTCGACAATCCTCTGTCAGATAGAGGCTATCCTTAATTCCAGGCCTTTGAGTCCGTTATCTAATGATCCATCGGACCTCAACTGCCTCACGCCCGGTCATTTTCTTGTGGGATCTGCATTGACCAGTTACCCGGAAAAAAATGTGACCCAAATTATTGAGAACCGACTTTCAGTCTATCAGAGGATTTCACGGATTCAGCAGTGTTTTTGGAAACGTTGGTCTGTGGAGTACCTCAACCGACTTCAAAATAGACCCAAATGGTTCCGCGAAAAGGCAAATTTGAAGGTCAATGATCTTGTGTTAGTAAGAGAAGATGATGTTCCACCTCTCAAGTGGCCCCTTGCTAGAATATTGGAGGCTATTCAAGGGCGAGATGGAAAAGTTCGCGTCGTAAAAATACGCACATCTCATGGTGATTATACTAGACCAATTACCAAGGTTAGCCTCTTGCCAAATCAAGTACCCGACTCTGTCTAGTTCGCTATATATCGTATATTAAGTATATTTTTAGTTATGTTCTGTTTTGTAATTTTGTATTTTGTTTTCTTTTTCTATTAGTAGATATCTTTCTTGATTTTTTCTTTGTTGAAGCTTGTTCAGCTTCAACGTGGGGGAGAATGTTCAATTTGTAAAGCAAATGCCCTTGACTGGCGCATCCATCAAATATTATTTTTCTGAATCTTCTTACAAAACTTGGGCGATGCAAGAAGGGGACGCACCCGACCGTAACGCCTAGACCCTTTTTTCTTATTTCAAGATACAAAATAAATATAATGCGCAGTTATTGCATAGATTTGGCTGTGTTCGGACTGCAGTTTGCGTCCAAATTTCTCATTTTCGCCTAATAAAGGCATAAATAGTTTTTTTCCTAATTTAAGTAGTGCCAAAGTTTACGTAGTACTACATATAGAACTTTCTACAACAGCTGAGAGTGGTGTAGCAGTTTCTACAAACTCTCCTCTTTTCGTCGTCCCCTCACACGTAGTGAGTAAAAGATATTTAATAATATTCCTTTTGATATCGCCTATACCGTCATACACATTGTGTTTTAAGTATAGTGTAATAGTGTGTAGTGCAAATTTAGTGTATTTACTTCAGTATTCTCAGTTGCGCTGAGATTAATATTAAAAATCGTTTAGGAAAATAAAGATTGTGTTTGAACTTAAAACAAACGATTTTCACGTGTTTTTATTTTTTTTTCTAATACAGTAATACAGTCGTGTGTAAAACAGCGATTTCTTTCCCTTCCAGAGATTCTTGTATCCTACTCGTCAGTTGGAACAGAGCTGTCTCAGTGGATCTACATGCTCTGTAAGCGTGCTGACTCGCGTTCAGCGGCCACCTTTCCAATGCAGTGAATCTGATATAGTTATCTACTGCCTTCTCCATTGTCTTTAAAAGGAACAATGTGAGGCTTATTGGTCTGAAGGATCTGGGGTCTGTCCCATCCTTCTTGCCTACCTTCGGAATGAAAGTGACTCTTGCCCTTCTCCATATTTGAGGTATATATCCCATTGCAATGCTGCTTCTGGTTATATCTACAAGGTGCGGCATGATCTCTGTTTTTCCTCTTTGTAGGAGTGCTGGAAATATCTCGTCCACTCCTGACGATTCCAGAGGTTCAAATGTGTTCAATGCCCGCTCATTGGTCAGTACTACTTTTGCTATCTCCCAGTTCTCGCTTGTCGGGCGTCTGGGGTATGATCTTTCCTCACTTCTGTTTGTACGTTTGCTGCCTGGGAAGTGTTTGCTTAAAAGAAGGAGCGCACGCTCTTCTTCATCTTCCGTGTAGGTACCATCTGGCTTCTTAAGAGCCATTGTCAAACACGCTCCCTCTTTGGCCATTGCCTTGTGTAGACTAGTCTAGCGGCTACTAGAGTAAAGGTGATGTTTTCACAGAAAGTCCTAAAGTTGTTTCTTTTTGCCTTTCTGATTTCTTTGTTGTATTCTGTGAGGGCCTCTGTGTACCGCTGCCACTCTCCGGTTCTCCTGGCTGTGTTGAATAAACACGGAGCCTGGGTCCGAAGGCGTGCCAGCTTTGCATTCCACCATGGGGCCACACTCAAGCGTTCTTTCGAAACCATGTGGCAGCTAGAGTCAAAAACCTCTATTACTGTCTGGTTCACGAGCTCTACTTTCTCTTCCAGTTCTAAGTGATTTCCTATTCTTCCTGGGTTGATTGCTTTGAGATTTTTTTCCAGATTGACTCTGTATACTTCCCAGTTTGTTCTCCTAGGATTTCTCCTGAGTTTTGCTTTGGAGCTGCTTATTTTTAGGCTGAATTCTATGATCCTGTGATCAGACAGGGAGGCTTCAGCTCCTCCTGAGATAAAATCGTGTTAAGCAATTTATCAATTTTTCATTTTTTTTTTAGTGCCTTTTTTCATAGATTTCGACTTCAAATTTGGGAATAATTTAGTATATGAAGTTCGGAGGATATCAAATGACCATAAGGACACAAAATCTCAACAAAAAAAAATTGAAATTTTATCGTTTTCCATTTTGTACCCTAATAGAGTTGAAAATCAATTGGATTCTAAATTTTGACCAAGAAATAATGAAAATTGTATTCCTGGCTCCAAACTGAACTAGAGAAGTACCAAACTACGATTTCGAGTAAAAGTTAACATAGAGCAATATGGGAACCTCTTTCTGCACCCTCATGTTGCCAAAATTTAGTGCTGAAATCCTATTCCTAGATTTCTTATGAGAGTGAACCTCTAATTTTTACAATCTGCAATTTAAAATTGACCTGTAGTGGTTTCAAACGGTAATTTTTGGCTCTCGTGAACTCCAATTTCTGACCATTCCAGAATTGAAATTGACATAGAGAAGTATAAGAACTTCATTTTGCCTCTTTTATGAATTGAATTTTACCTAAAAAAGCCTAAAAATCTTATTTGCTGCTCTCTTATAATTAAAATGTAATCAGAGAAAACTCTAAGAAATAATTATTAAACATGTCCCTGAGTTATTGTGGAAGCTTCTAGAGAATCTACAGAACCTTGTCTAGATCTAGAATATGCTGGAATTTAGCTAGAATCCATTTTAAATTCAATGTAGAGCTCATCAAAGATTCATAGAACAATATGTCTTGAATCAACGTAGAGAAAATTGCAATTTTACTCTACTAGAGAAGTAAAAATTCCAATTTTGTTCCAAAGCTGCTCAAATACCTTTTTATTATCCTGTTGTATAAAGTTTTCGCAATAGATTCAATATGATTATAAGTTCCTTTGTAGTATTGGCCATCAATCAATTTAAAATGTTTGGCTTTGTGGCATAAATGCGTCGCGGCTTGCAAAAAGTGACGGTGCAGCTCGGTTTTCGTTTTAATCAAGTTTGCGTCGTTGGTGGTAGCCCAAGGAACACTTGATCTGAAAAAATACAAAAGTTTAAGTGCAAACAGCTATAAATCTTCTCACCCCAGTAAAGTTTCCAAGCCCTTATCAACTGTGGCAAAATCGAGAATCGTGTCAGGCGTTTTGAATGGCTTGGAGGATGTTTTAGATTGATTTTTGCTGTCCGTTGTAGATTTGTCACTCTTTTTGCCTTTTTTTGGTTTTGCCAGATTCTAAAAAACACTCTAAAACATCTCTAAACTAATAAAAAATCAAAATACCTTTCCAAAATGATGAAACCTTGAATATCCTTGATACAAACTATTAATCATGCCGCATTGATTGTCTTTGTCTGCAGCCAAATTGCTGATTTTGTAACCAATCAGAGCCTCAAAGACATTTAAAATTTCCTTAAGATTTAACATTTTTTGCTGACTTTCTGGCAGAATATCATTTAAATCAGTTCCATCGTCCAATTCAAAATGAACCAATTCACAATTTGCCATTCGATTGCACAAAGTGTCCAAAACTTTGGTGTACTTTTCCTGGTTATTAAACCTCACAACTATTTGAGCTACAACAAAAATCAATTTGCCTAGAGGCACTTTCAATACACATTCAATATCATTTAATTTAGTAATATTAGTTATATGAATTGGTATAGTTGATTCATCATCGTTGACATAAAAGTCTATAAACTGGTTCCAGAGGAATTCCAAGACGCAAGCAGCCAATTCTATATTCACTTGAACGGCGTTGAATAAATCTTCATACAGCTCCAATTCGACTTCGGCTTGAAGTGTAAAGCAACGCTTTAAAACTCCTAATATTTCCCAGCAAATTGCTTCGTTGCTTAAAACGCTAGTTGACAATGATTGAGTGCTTCTGCTCAAAGATATTTGAGTGTACATTGAATAGCCAGACTTCACGGAGTTGCTGATGGTTTGATTCAATGTCAAATTCGCGTTGGTAAATTTCAGGGTGCTTAGGAGCTTTACGAAGCCATATATTGCTATTTGACTAGTTTCTATGGACCTAAATAAGAAAATCAGTTTTTGTTTTGATTAAAAATATTCATGGGTACCTGGAAAAAAAACATTGATGTAGAATCAAAATTAACTGATCCCTGACTATATGTGAAACCACTGTCATTGGCATAACGGCTTCCAACAATTCCTTGGCTTTGGATACTTGTTCAGGGTTTTCTAGTGAGTTCTCAATGAGCTCCTTAATATAATTTTGATGTTCTAGCATTAAAAAGGGTGATGTTTTACAGAGATAATACAGGCACTCTAAAAAATAATATATAATAAATTGCATACACACACAAACAATTCTTTACCAATATGCTGTGTAGCACTATTCCTGTTCAAAATCTGCTTACAAAAATTCTTCAAAACAATCTCAACAGCAATCCGCTTCCTTTTTATAATTTTCAATATTATCATCGTCCCTAAAGTCCATTGTTTTTCGGCTATAACATCTCTACCTAAACCCGCTCCTATGTTTAACAAAGCAAATCCGAAATTTACAAAAGCTTCGAGCAGATATTCTCTATCCCCTAGCTCGATAATCTTGTTGAAAACTTCATCAGGCTTTTGCAATGTCCCTATCAACTCGCTGTACCAATAAGAGGTCAGTTTTTTTTGTGAATCATTATAACACTTTACAATTGAAGGCCTAATAATATCGAAAACTTGTTCTTCGTATTTTTTTTTAGTCGCTATACTAAACAGAATCAGCAGTTGGAAATGATTCAAAATAAATTCAACTGATTTCGACATATTCTTTAAGTAATTTAAATATTCTTTTATGCAGTTGTAGTCATTCGAGGTTGCAGTTTGTATGTGAAACAAAACCATAGATTCTGCCTCTAAAATATCGTGATCCTCTCTGTCTTCAATTGCATCAAAATTAGAACTACTAGGCTTGTTAAAGATAAAAGAGGCATTGTTGTAGATTTTTAAATTGAAATATTGTTGGAGCTTCAAGAAAACCATAGGAATATTTTGATGTTTACAAAGCTTTATAAGTTGAAAAATGAAAGGTGGGACTTCTTGAGGTGACAATTTTTCTATGTAGCAAGATAGTTTCTTCACTATTTTTGTGTGTTGGTCTTTGGTCAAAGACATTTCACTATAAAGTAAGTTTTATTAGTGTAAAATTTTAAAATATGTATAAAATAAAATTACTTAAACATTGAAGTAATTGCTGTAATTTTGCTAGGGCACAAATTAGATATACAAAGAAGATTTATAATGGTATCTTTGAATTCTGTTCCTGTATATTCATCTTCACGGAATCTGAATAAGTCTTTGGTTGTTAAAGTCCTAATTGTTTCTGGAAAGAGTCCTTGCCAACTAAAAATTGAATTAATTGATTCATTGTATAGTTGAAAAAAATGTTATTTACCAATAAGTTGAGCTCCCTGAATTGGACTGAATACCTTTGAGACAAAAATCGAAAATCTCTACTAAAAACTCAGTTTCAAATTTCTCCAAATGTAAACACAAGCTTCGAATGATGTTAGATGATACGCTGGAAGTTACTTCGCGGTTTTCCATTTGGTTTAGCAGTTGTAAAATTGTTGAGCAGCATTTTTCTCTGTGCGACAATGTTTCACTGTAAGTTTTGAGAATGTGCGTCCATATTTGTGAATACAAGGGGCTGTCTAGTAAATTAGCTTCAATCTCGTCCAGCTAAAAGAAAATACTGATATTTGATCTTTCTTTTATCCATTTGCAAAATTTCCGAGGCAAAATGTACAGATCAAACAGCCCTTTAAAATGATATATCATCTATCATTCGACCCCCTGTTTCATTTGAAAATTTTAGAGAAAGTCCAAAGAAAATTTAGGGGGTTGAAGGGGCGAAGTCCAATATTACGTAAAAAAACATTCCCCCTCAATAAATTTGTTGACGTGTTTCGACGATTTCCAGAAATCTGTCTCTTTACGCTGATAACGTAGGTGGCAAGTTTTGAAATGAAAGCATTGTACTATATATTATACTAAACCTCAACAATTTATCCTGACATTGGTCTCTTCTGAAACATCAGATAATTATTCTTTATTATTATTATGGGTATCTGCAGTAGACGGTTGTTTAAAGATTAGAGATTTGTGGGAAGTCATGCATTGCTCTTGTCAAAAGAGCCTCTGCGGTCTTAATAGTCCTCCTGAAACTTAGTTGCCTCGTACAGTATAATGCACAAAGAACGTTGTGCTTTGGTTCTTCATTTCTTGGTCTAAACAGTTTTTGAACTGGTTCTCTGTTGTTGACGTGGCAGTGTTGTTACCAAGATATTTTTCGTTGTACTCTCTCAATTTGCTCTATGTCTTTAGCATAGTAAGGATTTATGTAGTTTTAGTATCATATCTTTGGAGAGGTCTTTAAATGATTTTTGTATGAGATAAATCATTGAATAAGCTTTTTTGGTCACTTGCGTGATGTGATGAGTTTCCCATTTCAAGTCCTGGGTTACAGTGATTCCTAGATCTCTCTGTTGTATGACAGGTGTTATTTGAAACTTTTCAAAAAAGTAATTCAATTTAGGGTTGTTCTGGCCAATATGTAGGACTGTATATTTGGAATCATGCATTTTCCATAGCTGTGTCCATTCTTTGATATTGTTTAGGTCTCTCTGAATAGCAGCATGTTGCGAAAGTGGATTTCCATAAATGTTTCTGTCGTCGGCAAAAGATGCATTTCTTGTTTCCAGACCTAGATATAGATCACCTGAATAGGCAATAAAGAGTAGAGGACTGAGAACTGATCCCTTTTTTTGCTTTGTTTCGTGCCAGCAGTCCCCTAATAATTAAAAAAAAATCTGTAACCCAGTTAATAATTAATAAATCCTATTTTTTCTTCGACTATTTAGGAGCACCTGAAAAGCACCTAATTCTGATACAAAAGAAAATTTTGAAAAATATTTTTTACTATAGGGGACTACTAGTTTTCATAAACCTAGCAATCCCTTAGCTTTCTTTGATTTTCTCAAAAACTAGAGGAGCACCTAATTTTTAATTAGAGGCCCTAATTAGCACCTAAAAAGCACCTAATTATTATATAGATCCCGAAGTTCTTTTGCCATTCTGACACACCAACAAGTAAACGTAAAGCCAGCAGTCCCCTAATAATTAAAAAAAAATCTGTAACCCAGTTAATAATTAATAAATTCTATTTTTTCTTCGACTATTTAGGAGCACCTAAAAAGCACCTAATTCTGATACAAAAGAAAATTTTGGAAAAATATTTTTTACTATAGGGGACTACTAGTTTTCATAAACCTAGGTGGTAGACGCTTTTTACTTATTGGGCGTCGACCGGTGAGATACCACCATGCCAGAATTGAGTAGCGCTAAGTGGTATCACCACGTTCCGCTACTGCGCTGGCAGTCCGGTTCCAACAATGAGTAACAGATAGCATGATGGCGCCTCCAGGATCAAAATATTCCGGAGGTAAAATACCCGACCACTCGGATCTCCGGGCGTCGGGTGATCCTGGGGGTCCTTCATGCAAAGATATAAAGAGAAGATCAAAAACTCAACTCAGAATTGATTTTAGCAATTTAAGAGGAATAAGTACAAATATGAATTCAGTTCACCAACATCTTGAAGAGCAAAGACCTGACATCCTTGTTCTCACTGAAACTAAAATCAGTTCTGCAACACCTATTGTGAACTATCTTTATCCCGGCTATGACCTACACCACCGATTTCGACATAATTTTGGGATCTGTGTGTACATTAAAAATGACCTTTCATGTCATCGAGAGGAGAAGCTAGAACCAGCGAACCTTGATATCATATGGCTAAAATTCACCTCAAAGTCATCGACCAAGTTTATCTGCTGCCTCTACCGACCGCCATCTAACACCGAGTACCAAAACTTTTTCGCCACATTATCCGAAAGCTGTGATAGTATACAGTCAAACTATCCACAGGCGGAAATTGTCTTTTTAGGCGATTTCAACGTCCACAATATACCCTGGCTGAAACACCACAACAAAACAGATAACGAAGGCAGAGAAGCAGAAGCTTTTGCCATAAGCTCGGCCATAAGTTGTGGTCTAACGCAGCTTGGCGATGAACCTACCCGTATCTCAGAAAGGGGCAAATTTGCAGCGCTTTTAGACTTGTTCCTAACCACAAATCCTGACTCGTACACAATTCAAGTAGATGCTCCACTTGGTTCGTCCGATCATAAACTTATAATAACAAAGTGCGAAATGCTCATCCCACCAAGCCAACAACCACTTCCTCGTAAAATGTGGCACTATAAATCGGCAAAATGGAATGACCTAAAACAGTTTTACCTGGATTTTCCATGGCAAGAGGTTTGCTTTAAAACAGCTGATCCCACTATTTGCTGTAATGAAATAACACAAGTAATCTTATCTGGAATGGATGCATATATCCCACATACAACTAAACGTAGAGCTAATGCAAAACCTTGGTTCAACAGCCAGCGTCAAACGGCTGTACAGAAAAAACACAGAGCATATAACCTTTGGAAACGACAACAAACCGCTCAAAACCACACAGAATTTATAGAAGCCAGAAATAGTTGCAAAATTACTATTGACTCCGCTAAAGAAACATACAATCAAAGAATAAAAAACAGATTGCTGAATTGTCCAAGTAGTTCTAGCTCCTTTTGGTCTCTTGCAAAAGCTGTTGGATCTAACTTCACCAAGTCATCCATACCACCACTTACAGATAAAAATAATCACTTAGCCACAACATCAGAGGAAAAAGCCAATATGCTGGCCCAAATGTTTTCCTCCAACTCCAACCTAACAGTGCCAAACGGAAAAACTCCACTGTTCATTGAAAGGGTTTCCCATAGTATGCCAGAGGTACCCTTTTGTCACAGAGAAATACGAAAATCCCTTAAAAAGCTAGATACAAACAAAGCAATGGGTCCGGATGGCATTCCCGCAATAGTACTCAAAAATTGCGCCAACGAACTCACCCCAACTTTCGCAAAATTATTCAATTTGTCTTACAGGCAAGGAGTATATCCATCATCATAGAAGTCTGCCGCAGTACAACCCATTTCAAAGAAAGGAAAAAAGACAGATCCGTTAAACTATAGACCAATTGCTCTACTTCCGGTGATATCAAAAGTAATGGAAAGAGTTGTGAACAATCACCTAACCAAGTACTTGGAAAAGTACAAAATTATCAACGATAAGCAATACGGATTTCGAAAAGATAGGTCAACTGGCGATTTACTTACATAGTCACTCACTTATGGCAAAAAGCGATTGAGTTGCGGGGTGAAACAAGAACAATTGCCTTAGATATATCTAAAGCATTCGACAAAGTTTGGCATGAAAATCTGCTCAACAAGCTCAAAGCAATGGGATTATCGCCGAAACTTTGCATTTGGTTTGAAAGTTACCTAAAGGACAGATCCATTTATGTTGCACTGGGTGGCCAGAACTCCAACTCTTACCAAATAAATGCTGGTGTGCCACAGGGAGCAATCCTTTCGCCAACTCTTTTTCTGATTTACATAAATGACCTCATAGATAAAACAGTAAATCCACTTTATTGCTTTGCAGACGATGGCAATGTAGTCTCCTCACTCATACCACCCACAGGTCTTTCCGCACGTGAATTCCATCATCTTAGACTAACTCAAATATCGCAGATAAATAACGACCTGGAGATAATAGAGGACTGGGGGTAACAAAAACCTTGTACAGTTCAACTCGCAGAAAACCCAAGCAGCTCTGTTTTCAAAAAAGACCAGCACCGGTGAGTCAAACATCATGCTATCTGGAAGTGCTGTCACATTACAGAGTCAGTCTTGGGGATTACTGCAGAGACCAACATGTCTTGGCATAGTCACGTGGCAGATATTGCTAAAAGGGCGTTCCAAAAGCTGGGGGTGCTATTTCGTACAAGACATCTGTACATACCAAGCCAATTGCTGACACTCTACAAAGCCCAGATTCGACCAACTATGGAGTACTGCTCACATATATGGAGTGCAGCACCCAAACATACCTTAATGCTTTTGAACACCGTGCAAAAACGAGCTATCAAGCTGATCAATGACCCCGCACTTACTCGTAACTTGGATGGTCTCGAACATCGCAGATCTGTGGGCGATTTATCTCTCTTCTACAGGTACTATCACGGAAAATGCTCTGAAGAGTTGGCACGTATGATTCCACCGAGAGTAGCGCCTACCAGGCGAACCCGTCAAACAGACGGTAACCATGAATTTACTGTCAAACTAGAGGCACCAAGAACCTCATTATATCAGAATTCATATCTCTGGAGAACAGCATCGCTGTGGACGGTTTTCCCTGCAGGTTACAACCTGAACCGTTTCAAGACCAACATACACCGACATTTCCGCGCACTTGCCGCTTCTCGAGCGTGATAGGACATTTCCTTGCGAGTGCGCATATCCGTAAAAAAAAAAAAAAAAAACTAGCAATCCCTTAGCTTTTTTTGATTTTCTCAAAAACTAGAGGAGCACCTAATTTTTAGTTAGAGGCCCTAATTAGCACCTAAAAAGCCCTAATTATTATATAGATCCCGAAGTTTTTTTTGCCATTCTGACACACCAACAACTAAGCGTAAAGCTAGCAGTCCCCTAATAATTAAAAAAAAATCTGTAACCCAGTTAATAATTAATAAATTCTATTTTTTCTTTGACTATTTAGGAGCACCTAAAAAGCACCTAGAAAGCACCTAATTCTGATACAAAAGAAATCTTTGGAAAAATATTTTTCACTATAGGGGACTACTAGCTTTCATAAACCTAGCAATCCCTTATTTTTTTTTTGATTTTCTCAACAACTCGAGGAGCACCTAATTTTTAATTAGAGGCCCTAATTATCACCTAAAAAGCACCTAATTCTGATACAAAGGAAAATTTTGGAAAAATATTTTTTACTATAGGGGACTACTAGCTTTCATAAACCTAACAATCCTCTTTTTTTTTTAATTTTCTCAAAAACTAGAGGAGCACCTAATTTTTAATTAGAGGCCCTAATTAGCACCTAAAAAGCATCTAATTATTATATAGATCCCGAAGTTTTTTTGCCATTGTCAATAATTACTTAATAAATTCTATTTTTTCTTCGACTATTTAGGAGTACCTGAAAGCACCTACTTAATTCTGATACAAAAGAAAATTTTGGAAAAATATTTTTTACTATAGGGGATTACTAGCTTTCATAAACCTAACAATCCCTTAGTTTTTTTTGATTTTCTCAAAAACTAGAGGAGAACCTAATTTTTAATTAGAGGCCGTAATTAGCACCTAAAAAGCACCTAATTATTATATAGATCCCAAAGTTTTTTTTCCATTCTGACACACCAACAAGTAAACGTAAAGCCAGCAGTCCCCTAATAATTAAAAAAAAAATCAGTAACTCAGTTAATAATTAATCAATTCTATTTTTTCTTGGACTATTTAGGAGCACCTAAAAAGCACCTAATTCTGATACAAAAGAAAATTTTGGAAAAATATTTTTTACTATAGGGGATTACTAGCTTTCATAAACCTAACAATCCCTTAGTTTTTTTTGATTTTCTCAAAAACTAGAGGAGCACCTAATTTTTAATTAGAGGCCCTAATTAGCACCTAAAAAGCACCTAATTATTATACAGGGTGTATATTTTAAGTGATACCACTATGGCTATATCCGAAACGATAAGAGCTACAAGGTCGGTTAAATTAGAAAAAAGTTGCCTTTTTTGATGCTCATTCAAGACTTGTTTACAGTGTTGCCAAAGTCCTTTTAGTTTATGAAATACAGGGCGATTTATAAAAAAAGCCTAAAATTATTTCATCAATTATTTTGAAAACTATTGATATTCGAGACACAATTTAAATTTGAAAGTTTTATAATTTTTTTCGCTCTACAACATGGCATCTTCAAATTTTAAATCCGACGTTTCGTGATCGAGCTACTATCATCAACTTATTTTTTTTAAATACGGACCTGGATTTTTTATGTTATTTTTGGGAAGAGAATTAAGGGCGCTTCCTAAAAATGACATAAAAAATTCAGGTCCGTATTTAAAAAATTAAAGTTGATGATGGTATCTTGATCACGAAACGTCGGATTTAAAATTTCAAAATGTCATGTTGTAGAGCAGAAAAAATTATAAAACTTTCAAATTTAAATTGTGTCTCGAAAATCAATAGTTTTCGAAATAAATGATGAAATATTTTTGGACGTTTCTTAGAAATCACCCTGTATTTCATAAACTAAAAGGAATTTGGCAACACTGTAAACGAGTCTTAAATGTACCCTGTAGCTCTTACCGTTTCGGATATAGCAATAGTGGTATCACTTAAAATATACACCCTGTATAGATCCCGAAGTTTTTTTTTCCATTCTGACACACCAACATGTAAACGTAAAGCAAGCAGTCCCCTAATAATTAAAAAAAAAATCTGTAACTCAGTTAATAATTAATCAATTCTATTTTTTCTTGGACTATTTAGGAGCACCTAAAAAGCACCTAATTCTGATACAAAAGAAAATTGTGGAAAAATATTTTTTACTATAGGGGACTACTAGCTTTCATAAACCTAACAATCCCTTAGTTTTTTTTGATTTTCTCAAAAACCAGAGGAGCACCTAATTTTTAATTAGAATGGAAAAGGGGTTGAGTGATATGTCATTTGGTATATAATAATAATATAATCTTAAGAGGGGCGTTTAAATAAAATGTCATTTACAGACCTTCACTAATTCCTGTTCAATTCCAAATTTAGACCACTTTTCAGTGAAATGAAGCTATGTTCATAACAATAATAGATTGGAGTAGAGGTTCAAGCATTTTTGGTTGCAAAATACGCATTCTAAATAGTAAAATTATTACCATTTTGTTGACAACAATATGCAAATTTTGGTCACGGATTTAAATGAAAAAGGGATAAACATATAGATTAGCACACCAACAATAAATGTCCAAAATTTCGGATAGTAAAATGCTGGGAAAAATGAATAGAACAGAATTTTCGAAAATTATAATTTTTGTACCACAAAATTAATCAAAATCTGTCAAACAACGAGGTGATTGCTGTCATTTTCAGCAAAGACTCAAACCAAACGTTTGTTCAGCGCTTCTCTAAAAGATGTCGCTGAGTTCAGGAAGCATAATAACTTCTTTCAAACGCCAGTAAAACTGTTTAACCTAGCTAATAATGTGAAATACTATTATTTCATTTGTATCTGAATAAAATTATTTCGTTCACTGTAAATTACTGTGCAAACGAATTGATATTGAAGATGTCGCCATCTACTTGTAAATTAGTTAATCACTTACAGAGAGTTTGAACACCTGTTATTAAAAAATATTTAATGTATGTCATAAAGCCCAAAAGATGGCGTGCTGGTTCTTATCTGACGCCCCTCTTAATGAAAATAGCAATCAAATGACGTATCACTCGACCTCCCTTTTCATTTGAAATTTTGGGGGTACCTTAGGGGTTGACAGGTAGGGGTCAAAAATACTAATAAAATGTGTCCCCCAAAAAACAAAAATTGATGTGTTCGAGCGAGTTTTAATTGATCACCTAACACCTGAGAAAACCTGGGTGGGAAGTTTTTCGTGCCACACCCTGTATAATAGAATAATTACAGTAGGTAGTTTTAAGAATATCGGGAAAAACACCAGTACTGAAAATGAGATTAGTTATATACGTGAGAGGGTATCTTTATATTTTTTTATTAGATTTGAAGAAATATCTTCCTCCCCACCCTTGACTCCATTTTTCAAACCCAATATCACTTCCTTTACATCTTTATTCGAGAAAGGACCCAAAAAAAATGAATGAACACTCCCCTCCTTCACACAATTCACCAACTGATTGCCCTGTTTTATTTTTTCTGCCAGCCTTTTTCCAATGTTACAGAAATAAGTATTTAATTCATCTGCTATCTCCTTCTTACCTGTTAGTTCCACATTTGAAGCTCCAAATTAAATTTAGAAGCTTTTTCTTATGTTGATGATTAAGACCGAGATTAAGACTGATGGTGATTGAAAATAAGTTGAGAGATTGTCGAGGAGATTGTGCAACAATACAATAATTATGACACATTGTGAGAAATATGTACACCGACTGCAAGAGCCATTTACCTGTTGCTCAAACAATTTTGGAGATATGACTATGAGGTTTCAAAAATTAAGAAGCTACAAACTCCATTATCTTGGAAATAAAAGATCAGGGCTGAATACACTAAATAACATTTTTCTGTAGCCCTGAATAAGCTCTAATATCTAATTCTCTAAAGCTTCCGGCAAGATAAAAATACTTGTAATAAAGGTGAAAAATAAGAGAGTTTTCAATTAATTCTTACCTGATCTGTGCCACATTTTTGTATCCAGTGTCTTCCATATCGCTGGATATTCTTCTCAATTTCTTGCATTCTGGATCTAACTCAAAACTAATAAATTATCCAATGAAAAATAATAAACAAAATAACCCGCAAACAAACAACAAATTCTAACCTCACAAAACATCAAAACAAGTAATTTTGGTTTTAAAACACTGAGCATTCGGAGCATCTTCCATCTTTTTTTTTTTAGATGAGAAAAACGGAGATAAAAACAATACAGCATCATTCAGCTGAAGTACACATAAAAGAAGAACGATGTCATGTCAAAAAAGGCAAAAGCCAAATGAACATAACCTCATTTTATTCCATATGTATTTTTTTTTTAGTAAATAAACAAAACTTTTGGCCCTGCTGCTTCAAAAAAGAACAATAATTATTATTTCTTAAAACAATCATGATAAACTAAATAATCAAATCAATAATGGCTTTGTCATTAATCCTAAGGACCTGTAGTAGATCTAAATTAAGCTGTAAACTCACTCACCCAGCAATTTCCTATTCAAATTCAAGGTAAGAACAAAATAGAATTTCAAGCATTCAATTAAAAGTGTATTTTAGTGGCGAAAAACCAAACGAAATACGAAAATCGCACGAAAAATCGGTTTACAAACGCGAGGAGGCGAAACGAATCCGTTTTTACATATTAAATCGTTTCATCGAGTACTTGAAAAACTATGACAAAGTTTTGGAGAAGAATTTTCCAACCACTATGAAAACCTACAAGGTTTTCACAGAGGGAACTTGGAGCTTTATTGCAGACACCAGGCACTATTTCAAAATAGTAGCTATGCTAAATAGTTCCAAAGGAAGCTACACAAAATTACTAAGAAGAGAAATCGAGCTGCAACATCAAATGCCAAAAGATATAACCAAAGTTGCACCTGTTCTACTATTTTCCACTCTACCTTTTGCTTTTTACATTCTTTTGCCTCTCATTTATGCTCTACCCAAGCAACTGCTGACTTCACATTTTTGGACCGAGGAACAAAAGGTGAAATTTGAAACTGAATATTTACATGACAGACTTGTACATAATAAACCAGTCTTTAGACATCTTCAATCGCAATTGAAGTTTATAAAACACCATAGGAAAAATAGAGATTTGTATGAAAAATGGAATAAAACGTTAGGGTTGTTGGGTAGTGGCGATCAGCCTACTATAGAATGTATTTTAGCTTGTAAAGAGCTTTTTAAAGATGAGCCTTACCATTTATTATATTTAAGTAGAAATCATGTGGTAAGTCAACTAAAACAACACAATGCATTTTTATTTTCATTAGAAATTAGTTTCACCTTTTGAGGGTCCATGGCATTCACGCTGGTTGGTTTCGAAGAACAAGATTAGCTGATAGGGCTCTTGGTTTAATTGAAATGGATCGGGCAATAATGAGGGAAGGAGGTGTGCACAATTTGCCTTTAGAAGCTTTAAGGAAGGCTTGTTACCTCAGAGGTACAATTAATTTATTAATTAAATCATTTTGATTTGGGTTATTTTTCAGGATTTCACACTAAAGATGTATCTCATAAGTGCCAAATTCAATGGTTGACCGATTGGATTAAAATATCTTCAAATACTGATAAAGATAGTTTGTCTTTGTTGCTACATGCGCCTATATTTTTGGGGTATAATGAGCCTAGTAATTGGAGATTATTACATCCTGAAAGGGTTTAATTTATAATTTTTTGGTTTATTTCTAGTCAAAGGAAAACCGGTGATCAATTAATTACAAATTTAAGTTTGTTAGACTATTGTTTTTTTGGCTCAAGACATCATAAATTAATTACATTCTAATAATAAGACAAGAAAATATTTGTTTTAGTTTTTTTTTTTTCAATATTTAATTTGCTGATCTGTGTTATAGTATGCTATAAAATAAATTGTTTAATTTGTTAATGTGATTTTTATGATATTCCTACATCAATATTGTTTATTATTGTTGTTTCAGTCCATGAAATCAAATTTTTTTTCTTTGTTTAGCTTCACAAGAGTCAATTCTAAGTTTTTCAAAGTAGTTTAGATTAACTTGCACTCCAAGTTCAATTTAACCTCTTGCAAAGCCAGGAAAAAGGGTTTCCAAGCACTTGTTTTCAAATTCAAGCTCTAGAAGGGCCAATTATATGATTTTCCAACTTCTTCAATTGAATTTTGGCTCTCTAATAGTCAGAAAAAAAGTTTTATAAGCCAAAATTCACTCTAAAATTTCTTTAAGATCAATGTCATCTTTAGTAGAGCCAAAAATAGGATTGAAAAGCACCTCTCTTCAAAATTGACCTCTAAGAAAGACAATTTCAGTCTGCCAAGCTTCTTTATTTGATTTTTGGCTTTGTGATTATAAGAAATGGGCTTTTTTTAAGCCAGCTAGCTTAATTTGTACTCTGGAACTGCTCTATAAGTTCAGTTTAAGCTTTTGTAGAGCAAGGAAAAGTGTTTCTAAGCACCTCTTCTCAAACTTAAGCTCTAGAAGAGCCAATTATATGATTTTCAAGCTACTTCAATTGAGTTTTGGCTCTGCAATAGCCAGAAAAAAAGTTTTATAAAACAAAATTCACTCTATAATTTCTCTAAGTTGAATGCCATTTCTAGTAGAGCCAAAAATAGGATTGGAAAACACCTCTCTTCAAAATTAAACTTTTTTAAAAGACAGGCAATTTCAAACTGCCAAGCTTCTATATTTGATTTTTGGTTCTGTAATAATCAGAAATAAGCTTTTTGCACTACTTAAATAATTATCCAGAATTCAAGATGTAAAGTTTCTAGACTTTTTTTTATAACAGCACACCAATACATTTCCAATGTTCTGAGAACAGCATCTTCAGATCTGTAGTCTTTTCCAGTAAAAACAGAATTTTTGTATTTTTTTCTAGAATAATATTCAATAAAATCATCAAGAAATTTTGAAATTTTGTAGAATTTACAATCTAGAGTCTTCTCAAAGAGAAATTAGAACATTTGTGAAGGAACAATTAAGAATCTGAAGGTTTTGAAAATCTGAGGGGACCTGAAGATCCCATAAAAATAATCCTCTGTTATATGTAGAAGTAACCAGAAAGTTTGCAAAATGACGATTTTGGATTCAGGATCTTGGAGTATTTTCAAAGAAATAAGGAAATTTGTAGGTACCTACTTAATAATAATGGTTCAGAATTCAAGACATGTATTATTATTCAATGTCTTGTATAAACGTAACTCCTGTAATATTTTTCCATTATTTTTTCGTCCTAATAACTCCAACTGTAGGAGGAAGGAAAATTTATTTATTTGTAGCTAAAAAAAAGCAAAATCAATAAGAGATTTGTTGTGGCTGCAACTAGAAAGATGGCACTAGAAATACCATTCAACTTTAGCTCCTTGAAAAATCTTGAGAGATTTTCATAGCCAATTCCCACATAACAATGAAAGAACATTCATAATCTCAGAATATTCCCTCAAAGTGCTTTTTGGAATGTTCTTTTAGGAATGTTTAATGAATATTCTAAGATTGTTTCGATTGAAATATTCATTTTTGAAAGTTCTATTTATGTACTAGGAATGTTGCTTCTATGCACCTACCTGAAAGATTGTGCTAAGAACCTACTTTATATAACATTATTTGAATATTGTCATACGAACATTATTATAATGTACCCTAAAAAATTTTCTTTCGGCTAATATCTCTATCAAGTATTAAGAATATACCTACCAAGTTGTGCTGAGAAGTTTATGTAGGTAGGTAACCATGATAAGAATATTTTCATATTGTTCACCTAATTATCTAAAGTACTTACTTGAAAATCTTAATTGAACAATTAAACAATATTGCTCTATCTAGAATCTACTAAGAATATTATAGGTATATTCTTTTTCTTTTGCTTTGTAGGACTTCCAAGAGAGGGAGCCACGAGCTATTAAAGATCTACAGTTGGCGTGCTTACCGCGACGAGAGCATAACAAGCTGGAAACCGGAGCTTTGGTTAAACACTTGTATTTTCCAGAGAAGTTTTTCAACATCTCTTTCACTGCCTTTCATATAAAAGGACTGAAAGAAGCATTATTTGGAAGCGAAAATTAACATTCCAAGTATATCCCTAGAATCAAACATAAATGTTATATCTAGGATGCATATTGAGAATGATATATGTAGAGATATATTCTAAGAATATTTCAAGCATATTGGTATAATATTCTTTTGAGAAGATAACTATAATATCATAGAAACATTCTTTGAATGTGAGAATATACATCTCCAAGCATATTTTTAGAATCAAACAGGAATATTCTTTTCAGGATGTACTGAGAATCTCATAGGTATATTCTAGGAATATCCTAATGGATTTCCCAGGAAGTTCTTGGGTATTGCAAACAGTATTTGTACAATCTTTTCTCAGAACATTCTCAGGACATTCGCAATGGTTTTGGCGAACATTCTAGGCACATTCCTCCTTAAAAAAGAACATTCCCATTACATTCTAAGGATGCAATTTTGTTATGTGGGTTATAGCCGTCCAATTGAGTTTCTAGCTCCTTGAGCCATTTGTTGCAGTGAGCAAATGAGCTCTACAGCTTGATTTAATATAAAATGAATGTTATTTAGTAGGTTCACCTGGTCTTTTCCAAACGAGCTTACAAATATCCTACCTCTATAAAAGATATTTCAGAGTCAAATTGCCTCAATAAAGAGGAAAAATAAAACGTATATGACAGATTAATTTTTCTGTGCCGGCAGGCAAAAGAATGGATGTTCCTACTTTGGAGCCTTGCCGAATGTGTGGCAGATATAAATGGAGATCGTCGAGATTATGGATGAGGGAACAATTGTAAGGTCTACCTATATTTTTGGATCGTTTGTAGGCTGGAAATCAACGTTTATTATCCACAAAAATTCAAATAAAAGCAAAACAATCCTCTGGCAATTAAAAATTAAAATGTCTGTTTTAAAAAACACTTAAACTTAATGGCCTTTTCGGCTAGAAGGGTCGATTTTTATATTTGCAGGCCTGACAGGGGTTTATTTAGCGAAAATCTTTTATGAACTCATTTATTAAAATGATACAAGAAAGAAGTTTGGAGAAAACAAGACGATAATCATATGCCAGAGCCAAAGATAAATAATTCACTTTATGAAATGTTTCTTGAATTTTTCTGCAGCTGGTGTTAAAAGTGTCGTATATAGTACATTTATCGTTCTTTCCTTTGTACCAGATTGCAGTCAGGGGTCATAAATTTATGCCTCACCTTCGACTTTTCGAAAAATGAAAAGTCAACTTTGCCGAATTTATCGCGTTTTGTGCAGGTAAGAACCCGAACTAACGTCAAAATAGGAAAATTAAGTAGGTTTCAAGAGTTCTATTTGCAAAAATAAAGTAATAGATATCTTAAAAATATGGACCATGAAAGGAAAACTGTATGACTAGGTAGGTAGGTACCCTTTGATTATGCTAGATATAAAATATATCGTTTTTTTTTTTGTCTTACGATGGCTTCTGTCGTTTATGGTAAAGCCTCGATTTCTGTATTTTATTGCCTCCCTATTTTATGCCCATTTTCAGATATAAACGTCATTTTTCCCAGTAAGTGTTTTCTCTTTTTATAATAATTTTATTATAAAAGTTAACAAACATTGACTTAATCAAGTGTCGAAATTCTTGTCCGAAAGTTTTCTCCCAAGAAAAAAAAAAAAAAAACAGTTTCGATATCCTTTTCGAAGCCCCAAAGGTCCTTTGCACACGTCCGAAGGCGAATAAACGAACCGCAGAATAATTGTGAAGTAGAACGTATAAAGTAGTCGGATTTGGAGGAGAATTAGTTTTGGCAATTATTGAAGACTTAGTTTTAATAATTTTTTAATTATTACCTACTCATGTATAACTTTCAGTTTTTGTTTATTCCAGGCGCTAGGCTTCCTGAAATAATTCTGAGACTGGTTGTTCTGAAGCCTTTCAAAATGCTGCTGGAAAGTGTCTTAGCTTGAAGAGTTCTGGAGCATTTTAGAAGTTTTTCAGTAATTTCTTAATTGTTCTGATAGATTTTTAAGTATTTTAGAGTCCTATAAGCTCCAAAATGTTCTTAAATTGGTTGAAAAGAATTCTAAAAGGTTTCCAGAGTGTTTGAGTGTTGTGGAGCGTCCTAAAATTGCTTTCAAACTTCTGAATTGTTCTAAAATGCTTTTAGGAATTGTAAATTGGTTTTTGGATGTTTTGGAGCATTCTAAAAGTTTCCAAATTGTTCTGAAGCATTAAAGAATGGTTTTGCAAATTCTGAATTGAATTTTAAGTGTTTTCAATTCTCCGAAAGACTTATTAAAGTTATAAAGTGTTCTGTTGCATTTTAAATGGTTTCTAGTAACTTCTAAATTGAATGAGAAAGGAATTCTGTGGGAAATTTTTGTAGACATCTTCAAGATTGTATATAACATACCTCGGTTCGTTCAGTAAGATTGAACAGTTGGGATTTTATTTAATTTTTTTTTTCTAAATTAATCTTCTGAAAAACAAATAGAACCTACGTTGTGGAAACTTACTCAATTTTACTTACTTGACGTGCGCCCGACATTAGCAAATTTTAGGGAAATTTAAGGGTATGTAAAATAAACGAAAAATTTGTGAACGTCTTCGTGTAATTTATTATCAAAGTAAATCGAACCGTTCTCGACCTGGAACTCACAAGGGGAAAGAGCACGGCAGACAAACCCTCGTTCTAACATTCCTCAAAAATCAAAATATACAGTGTCATTTTAATAATAATTTGTGACTCAATAAAAGTTTAAATTAGGTACCGTCCTTTATCCTTGTGCTGAAATTTTAATTCCACTCACCACATTCAATCAACACTACCTATATATTCAATACTGAAGGGTTTTTGGTTAGTTAGCCAGTTCCACCAGCAGGTACTGAGGTCCCTGGTTA